CACTGAGCTACAACCCCAGCCCAACTTTGTCAATTTTTGATGTAAAATATGTCTCAAGCCAGCATGGTGACACACACTTATACTCCCAGTGACTGTAAGAGGTTGAGGTAGGAGGAGTGCAAGTTTGAGGCCACCCTAAAAAACTGATCGAGACCCTGTCTCAAATAAAATATACTGTTTGTTTGTTTGTTTTGGTACTAGGGATTGAATCCAGGAGACCTTAACCATTGAACCATATTCCTAGCTCTTTTTATTTTTTTTTTATTTTGAAATAGGGTCTAAGTTTCTTAGGATCTTGCTTAGTTGCTATTTGAATTGCTATACTTTGAATTGCTATTCTTCTGCCTTGGCGTCCCCAATTGCTGGGATTATAGTTGTATACCACCATGCTTGGCTGTCAGTACATTTTTTTTTTTTTTTAATGGACAGGTTATGTAGCTCAGTGGCAAAGTGCTTGTGTTGAATATGTGATACTCTTGGTTTAATCCCCAGTGCAAACAAATAAAACGTTTCAGTGGGTTTTTGTTGTTGTTGTTGTTGTTGTTGTTTTTGTTTTGTGTGTGGTGCTGGGGAGTGAAGCAAGCACTGTACCACTGAGCTGCACCCCCAACCTTCCTGATATTTTACCTAAAATTTCATTGAATGTTTTTCTGTTTTATTAATTGATATTCTAATTAGATATTTAATAATAATCTATTGCTGGTCACTTTTGCTATTTGGAAATTTCAAGACTAAATTCTTGCCATAAGTTATTTAAACTCCTTATTTCTTAGTTATTGCTGAYTCCCATGCATTTGCCTCCCCACTCAGAATATGAAAATTGTAGGTATCAAAATCTTGGCATATAATTTTTAGGACATTATAAGATTCTGATCAAGATTTAATTAACAACAGAAGATTTTGTTGTTTATATTTATTTATTTAWTTAATTTTATGTGGTGCTGAGGATTGAACCCAGGGCYTTAGGTGAGTTCTCTGACACGGAGCTACAGCACCAATCCCTCTTGTCTATTTTTTTGGCTTCATTTGAGTCTATCCTCAAATATACTTCACTCTTTAAGAATTACAGAATAATTGGGCTCATCAGTAAGGTTTTACCTTAGTGGAACATTTGGAGTTGCAGTAGCTATTTTCTTCTACTAATGGTTGATAAATTTTTATTCTGATATTAACAATTTCTCAGGAAATCTAATTAATGAAATCTTATTCATAGGACAGGACATTATCTATTTTCATATTACATTTAAACCTCACTTTATTTTGGCTTTATTAATTTGGATCTATGTGTGAATATATGCTGAGAGGATTTGTTCATATTTTAGGAAGAATATTTAAACTATGAGAATGGCTTCCAGATACCCTGTATAAGAGTACTTATTTACTTTTAAAAAATATGTTGTAGGTTACTATTAAAAGAGATCATACATCATTTATTTCACAGCAAACTTGAAGTTTAGAAATTTAGAAAGATTGCCACAACTGCTAATTCTTTTTTTTTAGCCAGCTATTTTATGACCTGTTTTTTTCTTGAATAAATTCTAGAGACAAGTATATTTTAGGTCATTGACAAAACCCTCTGCACTTGTTTTTGAGGTAGTGATGGAGGAAAGCAAAAAAGCAAGCTTTTAGGAAGATCTTCATTTGTGGTTAAAAATAATATTTGGGATTCGTTTGAGGTAGACATTTTTTCACWTTTATACTCTTCCATAGTTTTAATGAACATACAGTATTTTATTAGCTATGATTCAGGAAATAGATCTATCACTGAGTATGCTCATAAAGAAGTGAGTTAAAATATTTATTCATTTGGTTAGGCATGTTGGTGCACAACTATAATCCCAGCTATTTGGGAGGCTGAGGCAGGAGAATTGCAAGTTCAAGACTATCCTGAAAAATTTAGTGAGACTCAAAATTAGAAAAAAAAAAGTGGAGGAGGGGAGCAGGGGTATAACTCAGTGGTAGAGTGCTTATCTAGCATGAGTTCAATCCCCAGTCCACAATAAAATAAAATAAAATATTTTAAAATTGTGTATTTGTTGGTCTCACTTCTAAAATCAGTATACAGGTTGTTGTTTACCATTTCTYGTGTTTGAAGCAAGATAGGGTAGCAGTTGCTATTTGGAAATTTGAAGACTAAATTCTCAAAACATCTGTTTGCAGATAACTAGGATTATAGAATATATTTCTAATATCCTTACCTTAATCACCCCACCTCCTGATGCTGGGGTTGAACTCAGAAGCCTCACACTTGCTAAGCATAGTCTCTACCTTTGAGCTAGATTCCCAGTTCCCTTGGTTTTGTATTTTGATAGCTTTATAGTGGGATGACTACATTACCCAAAGAGAATAGATAGGCCTTAATTTATTTAAGAAGCATTGTTAGGTGTACATGGAATTTTTTGATTGGTCTGAAACAGAAAGTTCCACTTTAGAATATAAATTTAGTTAATTTAAATATCAGATTTTTATTTTTTCCCTTGYAGTACTGGGAATTGAACTCAGGCCTGTGCACAACCAGACAGGTACTCTACTACTCAGCCATATCATTAGCCTTAAATATCAAATCTTAATTTTGAAACATCTTGATTAAGTATTATATTATGACAGTTAAAAATCTAAATATTTTGGACTTTCTGTGCCATGCAGTCTTAGAGAAAATAAATTCTGACATTGTAGTACAAAAGCAGTCAAAGAATACATAAATAAGAGTGACTATGTTTCAGAAAAATCTTTGTTTAGAAAAACAATAGGCTACAATTTGCCAATGAATTTCAGTTTTAAAATATGCTGTGTATGGGAGGTCTCTATTTTCTGCTCAAAATCTGCTAAAAAAATCTTAATTAAAAAAAATACATCAGTAAAAATAATTTAGGGGGTTGCAGTTGTGGCTCAGTGGTAAAGTATTTGCCTAGCATGCATGAGGCTCTAGGTTTGATCCTCAGTACCACATAAAAAAATAAAAATAAAGATATTGTATTCACCTAAAATTAAAAAATGAATATTTAAAAAAAATTAGAATGAAATAATGGTCAAAACCTTCATGAGGAGCCAGGGTTGTAGCTCAGTGGTAGAGTTCTTACCTAGCACGTGGGGGGAAATGGGTTTGATTCTCAGTACCACATATAAATAAGTAAAATAAAGATCCATTGACAACTAGAAAATATTTTTTCAAAACAACCTTCATGATATCTCTTTATTTCACTAAGTGGTAAATCCAGTAGATAACTAAATTATAAGTATCATCTGTCATATATATGCTCTCAGAGGATCTCATGACAGGTTCCCCCCCACCCCTTGGTATCAGAGATTGAACTCAGGGGCACTCAACCACTGAGCCACATCCCCACCCCTATTTTGTATTTTATTTAGAGACAGGGTCTCACTGAATTTAGCATTTCACCGTTGTTGAGGCTGGCTTTTAACTCACTGACCCCCTGCCTCAGCCTCCCAAGCCACTAGGATTACAGGCATGTGCCACCATATCTGGCCACCATTTGGTTTTATAGGGATCACTTATACAACTTATTTTACTCATTGATTAAAGCAAAAAAAATTTGTGACATGTCATTAATACATTTGATAACATAAATCTAGAACACCTCAGAGAATTGTTGGAGAAATTGTTGATGTAATTGATATCCTTGGATAAGTAGAAAATTCCTGAGGAATTTTGATTGCCTTGCTTTCATCTTCCTATCATTGATATAGTAATTATTTTGTTGGTGTTTCCCTCCTGTAGTATATATTTTCTCCTGTGAATATAACAGAATATGTTTGTGTCAGTTAAAATATTTAYAATCATTGAGTGTAATATCCATGTACAGCATCTAACAACTTATTTGAAAAATTATTTTAGACAGGTGCTATTGAATTAGCTTGACTGCATTTTCTGGGGTTCAGCTTAACTATAATAAATGTATATCCTTTTAATCTTTTATTGTGAAACAATACAGAAAAGCACATCAGATTCCATGAATTATTATAGTTATTAATTAATTGATTAATGAGTTATTATAAAGAAAACATCAGTGGAACTACCATAACAAGTTAAGAAACAACATGGCCAGCACCCCAGAAGTCTCTCTTCCTTTCTCCAACTATATAACTCCTTCTTTTCCCCCAGGAATAACTATAAATCCTGATTTTTATAGTATCCATTTTCTTACTTTTCTTTATAGTTTTACCACTTATGTGGCAAAACAATATAGTGTAATTTTGCCAGTTGTTGAACTTTACTTTTTAAAAGATTTTTTAAAATATTTTTAGTTGTAGAAGAACACAATACCTATATTTAATTAATTATTTATTTAAAAAGTTTTTTTAGATGTTGATGAACCTTTATTTTATTCATTAATTTATATATGGTGCTGAGAATCAAACCCAGCCCCTCACACATGCTAGGCAAGTACTCTAACTCTGAGCTACAACCCTAGCCAGTTTTTAAAATTTATTATATTACAGATAGATTCTTAAGTATATTACTAGTACTTTAATACTGTATTCATTTTAGCCATTAAAAAAATGTTCAAGGTAAGCCTAACAGGTTCTCACTATATTACTTAAGGTCTTGCTAAATTGTTGGGGCTGGCTTTGAGCTTCAGATCCTCTTGTCTCAGCCTCCCTAGTCAYTGCATTTATCTTGAACTTCTTCAGTATTTCAGTAAAACAGTTCCACAGATGATCTCATACCTTTTCTTGCCCTTTAGATGAATTTTTCATGCAGGACTCTGTTGTAGGTACCGAATTAATAATAACTATGATGAATGGTGAAGTAGCACTTGGCTTTGAAAATAGATTTCTCAATGTCTTTTATATCACCTTGTAAATTGCATAGTGATAGGATTGACTTCATTATTTTTATAAATATTCTAATAAAAATGCATGTTAACATATATGTATAGTAGACACATGTGCACATAAATACTTTTGCTTCTGATTGCAATAAACACTTCAGTCATCCAAAGAATTGGATTTTATAGCACTAATACTTTCTTTTTCAGGTGAAACTTCCACCAATGATGGAAATCATAACTGCTGAACAACTGATGGAATATTTAGGTTAGTGTTGAAGAGTGGATGATTTTATATCTCTTCCAAAATAAAACTAAGTTTTCAAAGCTGATATGTTACACAGTCTCACCTTTACAAAGTACTATATTATACACTGTTTTAAAATTATATTTTTAATCTGTTAATTTTTTAACTAGTATGTTACTATTCTTAGATGTTATAGGCTTCTAACCAGCATTAAATTCTGCAAGGAGAATAGGTGATATCTAGAAAACAAGATGCATATAAAGTGTAATAAATTGCAGAATGGGAGATGACACAGAAACTCTGACATTGCATGTAGAAGGTATTAAAAAATATTGGATAGGTTTGGGTTAAAGATGAAGGAGGTAGACTGGAGATATAAGTCAGTGGTGGAACATTTACCAAGTATATTCAGGRTCCTGAGCTCAATCCCCAGCACCACAAAAAAATTAAAAATAAAGGCAAAGGGGATGATTTAGGGTAGTGCTACTCAAAGTATGATTCATGATCTTGTGCCAGTTTATGAAGTATTAGTTCAGTCTCCAGTGAGATAGGAGCTAAATCACTATATAAAACATTTACATTAGTAAGTACACTTAATTCATCCAAAATGTTTTTTATAGCAGAATTTTCTTGATGAAGGAATCAATGTATKGAATTGCATTTTTTCACAAGCTTATTTCTAATAAAGTTTATAAACCAGTTGTATTGAGTTGAACTTGTTTAGAGAGTAGGAAGTTACACATCATACTGAGGTCTTTTAAAATTTTGGCAAATAATAATCTATATATGTATTTATACTATTGCCAAATAGGAAACCTTAAACCATATTTTTCCAGTTTTTTTTTAGTAATTAAAATTTTATTTTTAAAAATATTGTCAGCTGATAATTTGGCTCCACCATTCCAGATAATTAGCTGTTTTTTTGTTTGTTTTTTTTTGGTAAGATATAGGCTTAGTAAAATAATTGGAATTGCAGTTTTGGAAGACCTTTTTCTTTATGTAACTCATATCATTTAATCCCTACTCACTGGCTAGGGACCTCATGTTTATAGATAGAATACCTACTTATTTGCAAATAGACTGGATTTTTTCCCTTTTATTTTTATTTTTTATTTGGGGGCATGGTACTGCAAATTGAACCAGGGCACTTTGCCAATGAGCCACATCCCTAGCCATTTTTATTTTTTATTTTGAGACAGGGTCTCACTAAGTTGCTTAGGGTCTTGCTGATTTGCTGAGGCTAGCCTTGAACCTGTAATCTTCGTATATCAGCCTTCCAAGTTGTTGGGATTACAGGCATGCGTCACAGCACCAGCTAACCTAAGTTATTGATCCTTACACTTAATGATTTCTAAATTATATATCATGGGGAAGATTCAATATGCTTGGTGCTTTGAGGAATATCCAGTGTGACTGCCAAGGAATGTGCAAAGGGAAGCTAGTAGGAGATGAGATCGCACATGGAGTCAGATCACATAGGGTCTAGTAGCTRTTATAGAGGCTGACTTTTGCTGGAGTGAGTTGGGAAACCATTAGAGGATTTTGAACAGAAGACTGATATGATCTGACTTTGGATTTAATGAGAATTCTCTAGCTATTATGTTGAAAATAGACCTGGGGTAAGGACAGGAGCAGAGAGACCAATTAGGAAACTTACAACAAATGTGGTAGTAGCTTCAAACAAGGTAGAACTGGAGGTGGTAAGAAATGGTGAAATTCTGAACATATATAGCTGACAGAATTTCCTGATCAGTCAGATGTGGAATGAAAATGGAGTCAAGGGTTACCCTGTGGTTTTTGGCTTGAACAGTGAGAAGGATGGAGTTGTCATCAACTGAAATAGAAAAAAATGGAAGGAGAAAGTTTAGGGAGGAGAAATATCAGGATGCTTATATTTGGTTATAAGATGCTTATTGATATTCAAATTGGAGACATCAGGAAGGCAACTGGATATATAAATCCAGAATTAGAGAAGAATTCTAGATCATTGCTGTATAATATAACTTTTTGTGATGATAGAAATGTTCTGTATATATGCTTTCTAGTTTGTACCCAAAAGCCCACACATAGCCCTTGAACTCTTAAAAATGTATTTGATGTGCTGGGCACAGTGGCCCATGCCTATAATCCCAGCAACTCTGGTGGCTAAGGCAGGACAATAACAAGTCTGAGGCTAGCCTTGGCAACTTAGAGTAACTCTGTCTCAAAATACAAAATAGAAAGGTCTTGTGTACATAGCTTACTATGGTACACTCAGTGGTAGAACACTCTCATATTCAATATTCAGTACCACACATACACATACACACACAAATGTAGTTAATGTGACTGAGGAATGGATTTTTGGTTATTTGTTTTTTTATTTTTGCAGCTAGGTATCAAACCCAGGACATTGCTTGTGTCAGGCAGGTACTCTACCACTGAGTTATACCCTTAACCCCTGAATCTTTAATTTTAGGTAATTTAATTTGTATAGAAACATGGTGCTATTGGCTACTGTATTAGATAGTACAGGTCTAATCTGTAAATTATATATTTTAAGATAAGATATATAAATGGGAGATTGGGTGAGTTCCTAAAGGGAATGAATGTAGATAGAGAAGGGAAAAGATTAGTGGACTGAATCCGGGGCATGCCAGTGATTAGCCAAGAAAGAGAAAAATAGGAAATTGAGATTTCCTAAACTCCAAATGAAGAAGTGTTTCAAGGAAGAGTGAGAGATTAGGTAAATCTCAAATGCTGCTAATAGGTCAAGAGGGATGAATAATGTAAACTGACCACTGGTTTAGCCACAAGGATGTCACTGGTAGCTTTGTTAAGCATATGGAATGAAAACCTTACTGTAGAAAAGTGAAAAATTTAGACCTTCATACATAGACATAGAATATATAATAATACAGATAGTTTGAAAGGATATAGCAAAATCCCATAAACAGAGTCATATATACACAAGTACTGATAGCATAAAAGAATGAAATTGGTGCAAATAGGGCATTAATATTCAGAATATACCAAGAACTCAAAGAACTAAACAAACACTTCTCAAAAGAAGAAATACAAATGGTCAAAAAGTACATGAAAAAATGTTCAACATCTCTAGCAATTAGGGAAATGCAAATCAAAACTACATTGAAATTTCATCTCACTCCACACTAGAAAAACTAGGGATAGTAGGAACATACCTCAACATTGTAAGAACTCTATATGTTAATCCCAAGGCCAACATCATTCTAAATGGAGAAAAATTAAAAGCATTCTCTCTTAAAAACTGAAACAAGACAAGGATGCCCTCTTTCATCACTTCTATTTAACACAGAAACTCTAGCCAGAGCAATTAGGCAAAAGAAATAAATTAAAGGAAAACAAATAGGAAAAGAAGAGCTCAAGCTATCCCTATTTGCCAAAGACATGATTCTATATTTAGAAGACCCTAAAAACTCAACCAGAAAACTCCTAGAACTCATAAAAGAATTTAGCAAAGTAACAGGATATAAAATTAACAACCATAAATCAATTGTGTTTCAATACACCAATGATGAATCAGCTGAAAGAGAAATTAGGGAATTTATCCCATTCACAATAGCCTCAAAAATAACAACAACRTGAGAATCAATCTAACAAAAGAGGTGAAAGACCTCTACAATGAAAACTATAGAGCAATAAAGAAATTGAAGAAGACCTTAGAAGATGGAAAAATCTGTGCTTATAGATAGGCAGAATTAATATTGCCAAAATGGCCATACTACCAAAAGTGCTATAAAGATTTAATATGCAATTCCTATTAAAATTTCAATGCCATTCTTCATAGAAATAGAAAAGGCAGYCAAGAAATTCATTTGGAAAAATAAGAGACCCAGAACAAAGCAATCCTTTGTGAGAAAAGTGAAGCAAGAGACATCACAATACCAGACCTTAAATTATACTACAGAGCTATGGTAATAAAAACAGCATGGTATTGGCACCAAAACAGACAYGAAGACCAAAGGTACAGAATAGAAGACACATAAATACAGTTATCTCATATTAGAACAAGGCACCAAAAACATACATTGGAGAAAAGATATCCTCTTCAACAAATGGTGCTGAGAAAACTGGAAATCAATATGTAGCAGAATGAAATTTAACCTCTACTTCTCACCTGCACAAAACTCAAAAGTGGATCAAAGACCTAGGTATTAGACCAGAGACCCTGCACCTACTAGAAGAAAATGTAGGCCCAACTCTCAATTATGTTGGTTTAGAACTGAGTTTCCTCAACAAGACTCCTAAAGCGCAAGAAGTAAAATCAAGAATCAATAAATGGGATGGAATCAAACTGGAAATCTTGTTCACCACAAAAGAACAATTAAGAACACAAAGAGAGAGCCTACAGAATGGAAGAAAATCATTGCCACCTGCACCCCAGATAGAGTATTAATCTCCAGGATATATAAAGAAATCAAAAAACACAAAACAATCAAATAACCCAATCAATAAATGGGCAAAGGAACTGAACAGGCACTTCACAGAAGAAGAAATATATGAAAAAAAACGTTCAACATCTCTAGCAATTAGAGAAATGCAAATTAAAGCTACACTGAGATTCCATCTCACTCCAGAGTGGCATTTATCAAGAAATCAAATAACAATAAATATTGGGAGGATGTGGGGGAAAGAGTTCACTCATACATTGCTGGTGGGGCTGCAAATTGGTGCAATCACTACTATAGAAAGCATTATGGAGATTCCTCAAAAAAAAAAATGGAACCACCATTTCACCCAGTTATCTCACTATGTATATACTCAAAGGACTTAAAATCAGCATACTACATTGACACAGCCACATCAATGTTTATGGCAGCACAATTCACAATAGCCAAATTATGGAACCAACCTAGATGCCCTTCAACAGATGAATGGATAAAGAAAATGTACACAATGGAATATTACTTAACCATAAAGAAGAATGAAATTATGGCATTTGCCAGTAAATGAATGGAACTGGAGAATATCATGCTAATGAAACAAGCCAATACCCCCCA